TAAAAGCAATTGATTCAAAATAGTGATCAGTAGTTACAATAATTGAGAGATTTTCCTTTTCAAAGACTCACGCTTTCTTCTTTCCACCCTTCTTTCCCTTCGAAATCCGCTTGTTCTTACTGTAACATACAATAATAGATATAGATCAGTATCTACACATATAAATATACATACTTGCACATATAGAGATAGAATGCGGAGAGAGAGAGGAGAGTACCCGACGGCCATGGTGGATAGAGGTGAGGAGGGTTAGAGCACGCTTGTGAGAGAGAGACCTCGACGACGGCTGTGAAGCTTGAAAGTAAACCCTATTAATCCTGAACCAAAAAACCCTGGCTCGTTTGGACTATATAGTTCTCAGTTAGGCCCATCTTTTGGGCTTCTGGTGTATGAGTAACTAGGGTTACAATGGGTCGAGTTTGCCTACCGGCTCGATCGTCAATGGCCCAGAGACTGTGGGCCGAATTATTCTGTCCAAAAATCTGAAAATTCGGCCGAAAATCTAGAAGTTTCATTCGTTTAACAAAAATACTTAAGAAATGCATCTCTATATAATAAAACACAAAGTTTTGTTTGCATAAAGCATATCCACGGTTTGGATCATTTAGATATAATGATTGGTTTATATTATGACTTAAAATTTAGGGAAAATTTCAATGACACCTCCTTTAATCTATTATATCTTTAAGGACATCCCATCTAGTTTCTGAATCTTCAATGACACCCCTTCTAGTTTAATTTAAACATCATTAACACCCCCTACCATTAAACTATTATTTCTAACAAAATAAATTCATCTAAAATACCAAAAACACCCCTACATAACCTCAAATAATTTTTTTACATAAAATTTTATTAAAATTTGAGCTGTTAAAATTTTAAAAAAAATCATAAATAACAATTTTAATAAATAATTTGTTAGTAAATACTAATTTTTTATTTACTAATTAGTAAATGTTTTTTAAAAAAATCGAGCCTATTAAAATTTTTTTTTTTACATATTAAAATTTAAGCCAATTTAAACTCTATCCGAGTTGTTAGGGCATATTAAAATTCTCTTTCGAGTTTATTATAATTTATATTTTTTTCTTATTAAAATTTGTGTCAATTAAAATTAGATTTATTAAATTTAAGTCAATTAAAATTCATATATTTTTATATATTAAAATTTAGACCGATTAAAATTCAATGCGAATTAATTAAAATTTGATTTGAGTCGATTAAAAATAATTTTTAATTGGCTTAATCAAAATTTTAATTAGCCCAAATTCTAATACGTAAAAAAAATATAATTTTTAATTGGCACAAATTTTAATATGTAAAAAAATAAATTTTAATTAGTTTGAATCGAATTTTAATTGATTTAAATTTAATTACATAAAAAAATTAGAAAACAGAGGAGGTCTCATTAAAAATATATTTATGTAGAAAGGGGTGTGGATGAAGTTTGTCCTCAAATATATCATGGGCAATTTAGTAAAATTGCATTCTACTTAATATTTTTAATCTGATAGGGGGTGCATTGAAAATTCAAAAACTAGAGGGGGTGTCCTTGAAGATATGATAAATTTATTTTAATCACTATTAAAAAACGTCCTGAACATGAGACATCCAAGTTAAAAAATATATTGTCATATTATTTTTTTATTTAAATTTTAATTTTTTAACTACAATAACTCAATTTATTTATATTTAACTTTTTAATCACAATAAAAAATGTGTTTTACATGGGACACTCTCCTTCTAAATGTTTTGTGACACGGACGCTCAACCCTCAATTCTATCGGTTGTCCCATTTAACAGATGATAAGATTCTCAATCAATTGATCGAATTTCAAAAAATCTTTTTTATTATTCAATATAGAACTTTTGATAAAGATATAATATAGAAGAAGGAATATATGTAAGCCAAAACCTGAAATCAACCAAGTTCATAAAATATAGCAAAAAGAAAAATAAAAAAATAGTAAACTAGGGACATCCCCTAAGGTAGTCAATCTTGAATTCAAGGAATAGTCGACGGTAGTGTGAGCATTGGACACCTTGTTTTAAAAAAAAAGGAACAAAGGGTATTATTGGGTACTGGGCCTTCGGGCCAACGGAAATACCCACCCATTAACCCGCAAAATTTCAAACCATTACCTAAATCTCCCCAGAGCAAGAGCCAGAGATGAGAGTGATGTAGAAACAACTAGAAAAACATTACAAAACCCTAGCTGTAGCAGAAAAAAACCAATAAAACCTAAGGTCACAACGATTTGATTAGTGTGGAAATTTAAGCACAAAAATGGGTGAATCAGAAGCTAAAGCAGTGTCTTCACTGAAAGATCAGGGTAATGAATTCTTCAAATCTGGAAACTATCTCAAAGCTGCTGCTATATACACTCAGGCCATCAAGCAAGACCCGTCTAACCCTACCCTCTACAGGTACACTTATATGTATTCATGTGGTTACTTATATATATGTTCTTGTTATACAATTATGTTTTGTTTGTATTTATGTGTTCGAACTGTCCTGAACTCTTTAACTTAAGTTGGAATCTATGTCGCAGTTTAACGTTGTTTTGTTAAGTTTTTGATTTATTGTGTGGCTCAATATGGGTGACTAGGATTTGTGATGTCTTCAAAAGGGTTTGCGTTGGATTTTTGGAAAAAAATGTTTTCTTTTAACTTTGTTTGGTTGGTCAGAAAGTTTGACAGGGAAAAAAAAAAAAAGAAAAAATGTTGAATCTTGCAAGTATTTAAGATTTAGGTTTGATGTTGGGATAAAATAGAGAAGTATCTAGAAGAAACTGGCAACATGAATATTCCAAGTACCTCCTTTAGGCCCCATTTGGTTGGCGGTAACCTAGTGGAAATGGGAATAGCAATGGCTGGGGTTTAGATATCATTGGAATCTTATATGGATTGTTTGGTTATCGTCAGTAATCTTGTATGGGAATTACTATCCATTCCCAGGACTATGTTTGGTTTTGGTCAAATTATTATGGAATGGTATTCAAGAATACATTATTTGAACAAATAGAAAGCTTTATCGTTAATTAACACTGCATCGCCGGAAAACCACCCACCATGAACTATGAAAGGTATGGCAAAATTAATTTTTTTCCCAGTTATTGAGAACTTCGACTTTTCCTCACAAGACAAAGTGCAAGCATACATGGATCAACAAATATATGTATACAGGTGAATAAGAAACTGACCTGTTCTGCAAGTTTTTTCTGTTGGCTGCCGAAAATGAGATTGGAAGGAAATGTGGGTTTGACGAGAGGAGAAATAGGGTAAATAAGTCTCGATGGAGATAATTAATTGAGATATCTTCCTTTTGTGGGATTCCTATCACATTGGGAATCAAAATCCCACCCTTCTAGTTGGGTTTGGGATTCCCATGATTAATGGGATTATGATACCTATGGTAATGAGATACCCAATTAAGATTCAATTCAAACTTAATATCCAAACATGGTAATTACAGATATGGGAATGAGATTCCCATTCCCATACAAGATTACCACCAACCAAATACGACTTTAGAGGTTTGTCAGAGGCAATGGACTGAATGGAACCCTGCATTGCATTCTTAGTGCACTCAAGTGTGACATTTAATGGCCATTTGTCAGATATGGAAATTCTTCTACAGTTCCAACTTTGCAGGAGCCTATTAATTGACATACATGCACGTCGTGTAAACACTTGCACATAATTTAATTTGAACCTTCAACAAGTGAATAAACTAAAACTCATTCCCTATGTTATTAATAAAGTTCTATCAAGTAGTTTTTGTTGGTAATATACCAGCGTTCTAGCTCAGATGGCGTCTTAATGTTTGCTGGAAATCTTGGCTGAGGGGGAAACCCGTTTCATACTTGTCTAGGAAGCTCAGGTTTAAGAAGTGTATTTTTAAGTTTCCTTTTAATTTAAATTTGATTCCCAATCACTCATGCTTTGANAGGGGGAAACCCGTTTCATACTTGTCTAGGAAGCTCAGGTTTAAGAAGTGTATTTTTAAGTTTCCTTTTAATTTAAATTTGGTTCCCAATCACTCATGCTTTGAACTTTCATTTATAGTTTCTTAACCATGCTTTTCTGTTCTGTTTCTAATACAGCTTTTGGGTTTACCTTCGCCTCATTGTGTTTATGTTAATCTTGCTTTAAGAAAAGGTGCAAGAGTCTAGTCTTGGAAGAGGCACATGGAATTTTGTTTTATGGTAGTAAAACTGTTTGAAAAGCAACAATCTATGGGGTAGAGTTCTCCATGCCATTAATTTTGTTTTTTTTTTTCTAGATTTAGTTTGTGGAGATGTGTTTGATGTGCTCTTGTTTTTGAATAAGTTTGTCTGTCTTAATATGTTTAATTTAAATTTCTCTTGTTTTTGGCCTAGAATTTAATTGGTCATTTTTGCATATAACATGTTTGTCCCGATACTTCTGTACTGCTTTTTCCAGCAACCGAGCTGCAGCATTTTTGCATCTGGTCAAGCTCAGTAAAGCACTTGCTGATGCTGAGACAACAATCACATTGAATCCCAACTGGGAAAAGGTACATGGCTGTTCTGGCTTATACACTGCTTCATCCTTTTTAGTCTTTCCCTTAGGAAAATGCCAGTGATTCCACCTGCAGGGCTATTTCAGGAAAGGATGTGTATTAGAGGCCATGGAACGCATTGATGATGTACGTATATGAGTTTTTTTAGTTTGTTTGACAGCCTACTTACCAAGTAAACTTGTAATGGTGCTTATATTTCTTGGTCACATAATGTAGGCCTTAGCTGCTTTTCAAATAGCTTTGCAGCACAATCCACAAAGTTCAGAGGTTTCAAGAAAGATCAAGCGGCTTTCACAGTTGTCAAAAGACAAAGAGCAAGCTCAAGAAGTAGAGAACATCCGATCCAATGTTGATATGGCAAAGCATTTGGATATATTGAAACGCGAACTGGTGAGTTTAGTACTTCATGAGCACAACTTCACAATTTATGATTGTTTACTAGCGTAACTTTTGTATGTGCATTATAGTTGGGGGTAGTATATATTTGCTTTGTTTGTTCTGTTTAGTTCCTTTTCATTTTTAAGCTCACTTTTGTTCCTTAATCTACATTAAAGTTTTTTTTTGGATTTGTGCAGGTAAAAGTTTGCTTAATTTATTCACAGCTTTATTAAAATAACCTTAAAGAACCATCTGGAGCAGGATTCTTTCCTGAATTTCCTGATGGGGAGGATTAAATTAGTCTCCCTTTTTGCAGTCTAAAAAGTGTGGAGCTGAAGGTTGCTGGGAAGAAATTTTCTCTTTCGTTGTTGAGACAATGGAAACAGCGGTAAAATCATGGCACGAAACTTCTTATGTGGATGCTAGAGTTTATTTCCTTCTTGATAAGGAAAAGACGGAGACTGATAAATATGCTCCAGGTGTCAATATAGATAAGGTGTTAAACCTTCTGATTTTAATGGTTTCACTTCAATTAATATCACGACTTTTTTTCTAAAGTTTGTATCTGTTGGTTGTATAATAATTTTTTTCCTGTTAAATGCCTGATTTTCTGATTTCAAACCTAACAAAGCATTGGCTAGTGGAGCTTCTGGCTTCAACATTTTTAATTGATGTCAGCTTCTAGGATAATAGTGTTTAATATTATGCAATGCTTGTGTAGTTACTGGCATCAACATGCATAACTTTTTTGGTTAATTGATGTCAGCTTCTAAAAAATAGTATTTAATGCTGTAAATTTTTTCCATCATGCCAGGCATTTGAGTCACCCCATACGCACAGCAGTTGTTTTTCATTTCTCAGAAAGTATGCTGAGGATTCTAATTCCCGAGCAGCTTGCTTAGTGGCAGCTAAAAGTATCATATCTTACCCGCAGGTAATGTAAATGTTATTCTTAAAAATCTCATTGAGTTGTGGAATAATAGATGAGTGGTAACACAAAGAAACAAGATGAGAAAAGCTATCTACAATGGTTTTGGCCATGCAAGGCGACCAATTTGTCAAACTCAAATGTGGGGAAAATACCCAAGTATAGAAACTTCTAGTATGAGAGTGCCAAAGAACAAGAGTTAAAAGTAAAAAAATATGGCTATGACGCTCAGATACTTCATCAAGGCTGGAGTACCCGTATGCGATGTGAATTGGATACAGATATGTCTTGGATATGACCCAATACATGTCAGATGCAGCCGACACTTTTAAAATAAAACATTGTAACCGTGAAGTAGAGAATTCAAAATTTAGTGTCAGACCTGCAGTGAAGTTCTTTGTTTCTTCAGATGCTCTCCATTACTTGCGCACATGTGGGAGGGATATGCATAAAATTAAATTCCCGGTCCCTGGATGCTGTGATAGATTCCATTGCAATTCCTTATTTTAGTTTATCAGAATAGAAGTTCATACTATCTACCCATACTTTAGTCCGAGTTATTGGTATGAAACTGAAAAAGATTTCAATATATTAGATTAAGCTCGAACTAATTGTGTGAGAACTGGGAAGATATTCAACTAGACTTTACATGCTCTTTTATGACTGCAGGTCTGGAAAGGTCAAGGATCAAGGAAATGGAGGCATGGGCAAAATGATGGATTTTTTGTGCAATTTGAATCCCCTTTCCTGCGAAAGGTGTGGTTTGTTCCCAGTTCCACTGAAAAAGGGAAAATTTTGTGCAGGTATCTCTCTCTGATACACATGCGCACACACACAAAACACAGACATTAATTGACTCACTCAGGCTTACTGGCACTTATAAATATACCGCTGTGAAATAAGATCCAGTTTCTCATACTGACTGTTCAAAACAGTACAGAAGCATTAAGATATTTTGATTGCAGAGTATAAACAATTTGAGTTGCAATGGTTTTAGTGACACATGCATGTTACATGACCCAAACTCCATGGATGACTCAATATCGCCATCTTCTCATGACTTACACTACATCACTGCTTCTCATTTAGTATTCCATATATGCTGGACAAATGGAGTATAAAGATCTATATATAATCTCTGCAGGGATCCAGTGGTTTTGGACATTAGTGCCCATGAATTGCTTCCTCGTCTATACAAGCAAATATAGTCCAATTCCTAGTGGCTCTGTATCTTGGTCTGAACTTCATGGACGACAATGGCTCAGAAGCTAAAATGGGAGGCCTCTACTTTTGAAAGAGAACTGACAGAACTAAGTGGTGGCCCCAGTTATCTTGTTATCCCATTGTGCAATTTCCTACGTTGGGCAGTCGAATCATATTCAAGAGAATAGTTACGATAACACAGGATATCTGGCCAGGTGTTTTGCAAGCCTTCTCATGTGAGTGCATCCTTTGGTTTGAGTTTTCAACTGTGTAATGAGATTTTGCTGAGTGTTGTGGGTTTTTTCATGTATTTATGATGTTATGGTCTTCTTCTTCTTTATTGGTTCCTGGCAGTGGGATTTACTGTTATATCAATGTTACTATTGCTTGACAGCGAGGTAGCACATTGTGTTCATTTTTTATTTTTATTTTTGTTTTTTTTAAAGCATAAATGGTTTTGACATTTGGTTTTGTATGAGGAGATGTAGCTTGTGCCCCTCCCTCGTTTGCCTTCCGGGGGCTGTTGTTGATTCAGCTGTGACAACAGCGAGCCCAGTATATATTGACGAGCACTGCCTCGCCCAGCCTCCACCACTTGGTGCACGAATGGTGCTGACTCAATTGTGTCCTCGGGTTTGAGAGTTTCATACCTACAACTCACCTTAGGTTGATTTTTCAACCTGTCTAAGTTGCACCTTCGATCTGGATACTTATTAGAAAACTAAGTTACAACATTTTATTACATTTTTGAAGGTGCTCTAAAAGGCATGGGCAATCCTATTACATTTCTACTCCTGGAAGATGGTTCCCATCAAACATTGTTATCTGCAGCTTCAGATTCAACTCTCTTGGCATTCATCTTGCATGCGTGGAGCATGAAATTGCACGCGTTTACGGCTTCGGCAACTGTTAGAAAGATCCATTCTTGGCCGATCTTGTCGACAAACTTCGACTTATCGAGTTTCTTCATCACTTCGCTTCCAGGATTAGCTAATACGAGCTAAATTTAAAGAAAAAAGAGCAATACTTTAGACCCAACACAGAAAATTGAACTTGACCAAGAGTTAAGAGATGAATAATTCGTACCTTGAGACCCCTTATGTCAATGGTTTTCTGTACTTCTTCAAACATGCTGATTCCACTCGTATCAATGCTACCAACACCTGTAATTTGTTAGGTCTATGTCAGTCTGACCAGCATTTACATAGTAATTTTTATTTTTCATGCCAGTGATGAAAAGAGTAGTTTAGTATAGGAGACTCTATGATTGAAGGATTTAGGAAGAATAAGATATAGTTACCATTACACTGTGTGCTGAGTACCGGGTATGGTGACTCAGACATGTGACATTCAAGTCACAATTGAGTAATCTTACTATTGTCCGAAGGCTCGGTCTCGATTGTTCTTGTTATAATCATATCATGGGGTAGGAATTACAAAGGATAGTTCCATTTTTGTTTTGGATGATCACTTACCGCTCATATCTAAGATAACATATTGCAAATCAGCTTCTTTTGAAGATTTTAGCTTGTCTTCCTCCTCGTCTATCCATCTTGAAACCCTGAGAACATCAACTATCCAGATTAGTACCTTGTGGCTTATATATACTGCTTTGCATGACACAGTAACTAACATCTTTTCACTCGTGTACCGTTTGCTAACACTTTTTCAAAGCAATTTAAAAATAAAAATTCGTAAAAACAAATTTGAAACATATTAAAAACGTTATCAAATGATACTCAGCGTTCGATATAGATTTGTACCTTTCTCTTAGGTAGCTGGCATTGGCAAAATAAATGGGAGATCCGATATGGAGGATGAGAATTCCAGGTACATTGTTTGCAACTTGGTATTGATCAATGCTTCTGTAGGTGAAGGAATTGGGAATGTTGCCCAGAAGAAACGTCCTTGGCCTAGCCACGAATAAGAGCACCCGAACCAGAGATATCACCACCTAAAAAGGCGGCCTCAGGGAAGGAGAGAGAGTTAGTAGGATTAATTAAGGTAAACTTATCAAGTTTAAATACCGTCAAATTTAACTTTATTGTAACTAAACAAGCTCGAGTCAAACTTGGAATCTTACTCGAGCTCAACTTGCAGAAGCTTAATCTTGGTCAAGGCTGCTGACTTTAAGATTAGAATTGTTTAAATTGGAACCTATTTGAGCTAAGTTGAGACTATTTGAACCGACAGCCGAGGTACACGTTATTTGGATTTGACTTGTGATGGATATAATTCGGTCCTTTCGGATATATCTTCACTTTGGAAGTCGCTGAATGGTCACATTCAAAGAGAAGGACCAACATGCGTCAGTCACACCCAGCATGTTCTAATCGGAAAGAGTTTGACACTTGGCATCACACTCCTAACACGGCACATGGGCTACAATACCGCTGACATACGTCAGTGATGAAGACTTTTGCATGACAGTAACTTTACACACACTCAACCATAATTGATTATTCATAATCATCACTTTTGAAAATTAGAAGGGCACTTTTTTTTTTTTTGGTCAGAACTAGAGCGCACTCAATCCTAAGAAAAAATTATCTCTTTTGTCACGTATACACTCTATAAATCACGCTGAACTAATTTTGGCATCGGAGATCGGAGGTGGTTGGGCTGAGACTACACCAATCCTCAACTTTCAGTTTATCTTGAACCCCCCTCCCCCCTCATCTTCATCCAGAAAAAAAGGGACAAAAATGCAGTAGTTAACGTACCGCAATGACCAAGCCAATTTCAACACTGCCGAAGACCACACCAAGGAAGGCACTGATGCAGACAACAAAGTCGAACTTGTCAACCTTCCAAAGATGAATGGCAGCTTCGTAGTCGATGAGGCCGAGCATGGCGGCAATTATAATGGAGGAGAGAACAACAAGGGGAGTGTAATGAAACAATGGGGTGAGGAATAACAGTGTTATCATCACTGCAGTGGCCATCACAATGTTGGACACTGCTGTCTTGCAACCTGCATTGAAATTCACTGCTGTTCTTGAAAATGGCCCTGAAATGCATTTTTGACAGACATAGATGGATTAGTAGGCATGGATGGAAAGTTTCTAACATAAAAATAGGAGACAGAAAATGTAAGACAAAAAGGATACCTGTGGTCAAATAGCACGAAGTGCAAGAGCCTGCAATATTCATCATCCCAAAAGCTATCATCTCTTTGTTACCATCAATGTTATAGTTCTTAAACATGGCAAAGCTTCTTCCCACTGCTATTCCTTCCTGCAAATTAGTCAACCCTACCACCAGTTAGTTTTGGGGCAGTAAAATGGGAAAATGAAAATCAAAACATTTGCAAGAAATCCATCGGAGACATTAACTCTTGTGTAGAGGTCATACAGTTAATTGTTACTTACAGCGAGAGCTATGACACCAGTGATGACTCCAGTTTTAATGGCTGTCGTCAGATATGGTGACCCAAACACCAATTCAGACACAGACGTTGGATTCAATCCTTTCTTTACGTGCCCAATCTGGAAAAAAAAAAACAGCAAAACAAGAAAAACAATACATAAGTAACAATTACACCACACCACACAACCCAACCCAACCCAACCCAACCCCTCCTCTAGAGTTCTTAAAGTTCTATTGTGATTTTTCGAACTTTTATTTTATCATTGTCGCATTTGCTAGCTTTATTTTCTAAATTATTGTCTTTCAGACGAAGGAGTAGGTTTTAAATCGTAACTTTAGTAAAAACAAAAGCAGTTTGAGAAATAAGTTGGAAAAGAAAATATTAAAAAATAAAAGTTGCAAAACTACGATATTAAGATTATTGACTCCCTCTACATATAAATTCTTTTTTCCATCTTCCAAATTGTTTCCACCATATGCTACTGGGATATTATTTGCGCGCTGACTAATCTATTAATGTCTAACCGTTGTTAATTTAACGATAATAATAAATTAGATCAACAAATTAAAACCAATAAAGTACTCAACGGATTGTATTGGGAATAAAGGTCTTACCACTTGAACTCCATGTTTCTCAGCGTGGGTGAAGTAAACTAGAACACTTGCCAAGATAATAGAAGTTAGAGGTGCCATTGCATTTACCCAAAAGAAGGCTGGTCTTCTCTTGCTCTGTTCATCATCAAATTGACAACAATCACCAAAATAAGACATTCTTTCTATTTGTTTCAATATATATTTCAAATTAAGTAGATCCACAAAAAGGAAGCATAAAAAGCATGTGGATATGCTACTTACAAAATATCTAGTGAGTACGAGGAAGAATAGGAAACAACCACCCAAGACTCCACTTTCCCATCTCCACTGTAACCATTAACACCATCTTAATTTACAAAGAAAGAAAGATAAAAAAAGAGGTTGACAAAGTGTAACTTAACGAAAAAACAAAAGTACTAACTAAAGTATTGTATCCAATACTCAATGATGTCGTTTATAATGAGATATAGAGGACACAAATGGTAGACAATCTAATTTCATTATGAAGAGATTGTTTCTCGTAAAACGAACTATTAACTAAAGAATTCAATTATTTTATGAGAAATATTATTTATACCGACTTAATTTAAGAATCTAATTTGAGGATGTAATTCAATATGACTATCAAATGAAAACTGAGTGTTATATAATATTGGGATGTGTTGTCGATCTAATAACGATAATAACTTTATCTTCCGGAATTAAGTTGAAGTAGCATTGCTTTTCTTTTATTTATAGCAGTAGGAAATATTGGAAATGAAACAAATATGGATTATATAAAGATGGGATATGAAAGAGAACCATGTGTATTTGGCTGAGGATGGATCTCATGACTGAGACAAGATCTGTGCCATGAGTGAAATGAACCAGACCAAGAATTCCCTTTAGCTGTTGCAGACACACAACCGTGGCTGCTCCACCCATGAAACCCACTATCGTTGCATGTGAGAGAAGGTCCACAATAAATCCAAGCCTGAAGTTAAGAAGATCACTCTCACAATAAATAACTAGAGTAGTGCAATTATTAATTGATTCTGTGGTATTAAATATAGTATCTCTGCATTAATCTAAACTGAGGAGACTACGAAGTATGAACCTATGACCTTAAAGTTCAATAACAAGATGATGATCATTAGGGCAACCACTACCCTTAATTAATCTCTAGTTTGTCTTCCTATTCTTTAATCTGTTTCATTAATAAATGCTTTAGTTTTGCATTTTCATTAAAGTAGGATTTGGATGCTCTCCCCCCACATAATTTTTTTCAATGATACATCACCAGTCAGGAATTCAAGTCATCTCCTCTAGCGTCTCCTACCAACACATGATGGGTGGTGAGTCCCCTCTACCACAATTTTCCTCATTTACAGATCACACTGTCGTAGTATTAGTTTAAGTCGAATCCTCTACAGATATGGTGGTTGACGTGATAGGTAATTTCTCATTGCGAGAAATCAAAAGAAATTGTACCAAAAGGGATTTCATGCCTCAAGCAAACATGCTCATTATAAATTTTGCTTACTTTTCCATTTTCGTGTGTACATAGTTAATGGGTTTCAAGGCACTGACCTTAAGAAGCCTAAACCAGCTTGAAAAACTCCAGCAAAAAAGGTTGCAGTGAGAGCCAACTGAACATAAAGCTTAGGGTTCTCATTAGGATTGACCTCCTTCCCCAACATAGAAGCTATGAGAAGAGATGCAACAGCAACCGTTCCGACCGCCAAGTCTCTTGAGCTTCCCAACATGGCATATACCAATGGTGGCACAAAGCTTGAATCTGAACTTCCAAATGATCAATTAGCTTGCATTCTCTCTATAAAAATTCTTTTAACATCTGTAAAATTTATGGAAATATTTACTTTTTTCTAATGTTTTCAAATACAATGTGTTAAACTACTCTCCAAATGGCCATCAAATAGAATCTTATGTACTAAGGGAGCAACTATGTTGCTAAAATCAATATCATATCAAAAGTTACAAAACAAGAATGGTTAATTATAACTCAATTGAAGTTGTAACTCAAAAAGTTAATTACGACTTACCTTTCAAAACAATTAAAATCAATCTTAAAAGGTTACAATTAATCTTAAATAATCCTAAACTTGTAAAGAACTTTTTTCTTTTTGAAAAACCTTATTTTGTCATAACCTNGTTGAAGTAGCATTGCTTTTCTTTTATTTATAGCAGTAGGAAATATTGGAAATGAAACAAATATGGATTATATAAAGATGGGATATGAAAGAGAACCATGTGTATTTGGCTGAGGATGGATCTCATGACTGAGACAAGATCTGTGCCATGAGTGAAATGAACCAGACCAAGAATTCCCTTTAGCTGTTGCAGACACACAACCGTGGCTGCTCCACCCATGAAACCCACTATCGTTGCATGTGAGAGAAGGTCCACAATAAATCCAAGCCTGAAGTTAAGAAGATCACTCTCACAATAAATAACTAGAGTAGTGCAATTATTAATTGATTCTGTGGTATTAAATATAGTATCTCTGCATTAATCTAAACTGAGGAGACTACGAAGTATGAACCTATGACCTTAAAGTTCAATAACAAGATGATGATCATTAGGGCAACCACTACCCTTAATTAATCTCTAGTTTGTCTTCCTATTCTTTAATCTGTTTCATTAATAAATGCTTTAGTTTTGCATTTTCATTAAAGTAGGATTTGGATCCTCTCCCCCCACATAATTTTTTTCAACGATACATCACCAGTCAGGAATTCAAGTCATCTCCTCTAGCGTCTCCTACCAACACATGATGGGTGGTGAGTCCCCTCTACCACAATTTTCCTCATTTACAGATCACACTGTCGTAGTATTAATTTAAGTCGAATCCTCTACAGATATGTTGGTTGACGTGATAGGTAATTTCTCATTGCGAGAAATCAAAAGAAATTGTACCAAAAGGGATTTCATGCCTCAAGCAAACATGCTCATTATAAATTTTGCTTACTTTTTCATTTTCGTGTGTACATAGTTAATGGGTTTCAAGGCACTGACCTTAAGAAGCCTAAACCAGCTTGAAAAACTCCAGCAAAAAAGGTTGCAGTGAGAGCCAACTGAACATAAAGCTTAGGGTTCTCATTAGGATTGACCTCCTTCCCCAACATAGAAGCTATGAGAAGAGATGCAACAGCAACCGTTCCGACCGCCAAGTCTCTTGAGCTTCCCAACATGGCATATACCAATGGTGGCACAAAGCTTGAATCTGAACTTCCAAATGATCAATTAGCTTGCATTCTCTCTATAAAAATTCTTTTAACATCTGTAAAATTTATGGAAATATTTACTTTTTTCTAATGTTTTCAAATACAATGTGTTAAACTACTCTCCAAATGGCCATCAAATAGAATCTTATGTACTAAGGGAGCAACTATGTTGCTAAAATCAATATCATATCAAAAGTTACAAAACAAGAATGGTTAATTATAACTCAATTGAAGTTGTAACTCAAAAAGTTAATTACGACTTACCTTTCAAAACAATTAAAATCAATCTTAAAAGGTTACAATTAATCTTAAATAATCCTAAACTTGTAAAGAACTTTTTTCTTTTTGAAAAACCTTATTTTGTCATAACCTTGTCTAGTTGAATTATAGTCTCACCTACATATGTTAATCGAACTGAGTTTTGCAAACTTGAGTCCGAGCCTGTCGAGCTCGTTTTTTAAAATGAGTTTAAAAAATTGTTCAAACTCGACTTGTTTAAAATTCGAGTTGAGCCCGAACCCTAGTCGAGTCCTAATAGCTCAACTATTTTACATATAAACGAACTAAATTTTGTGAACTTGAGTCGAATCTTTAAGACTCGTTTTTTTTAAACGAGTCTAAAAAAATTATTCAAATTCAACTTTGAACATGAATCAAGCTTGAGATAAATCTTATCCAAACTAAGCTCGAGTAGCTTGCGTCGATTAACACCTCTGATCTCACCCTATTTTGTCACAATCTCATTAATTTAGTTGAGTCATAGTCTCACCCGGTTGAGTCGTAACTTTTAGTAAATTATCGAAAACTAACTCTTTAAATGTATCNGAGTCATAGTCTCACCCGGTTGAGTCGTAACTTTTAGTAAATTATCGAAAACTAACTCTTTAAATGTATCATATATACTATTCATCTACTATTAAATCATGATTATTTGATCACTCACAAAGGCCAAGAACTGGTGGCAAGTTGGCCAAACCGGCATAGCTGATTCCTTGAGGAACTGCAAGGCTAGCAATGGTGATTCCGGCAACCACATCAGCTTTAAAGAGATCGAAAGTGTATCGAGGAGCCCATTCAAGTACTGGCATGAGATACTGCAATCCTAAAACCACCTTCCGAGACATTGGTTGGTTTTTGAACTGCCGGAAAGGATCATCAGGAAAGAAAGTCTCTTTCAGAGACGATTCCAATGACTGGTAGAATGGTTTAGGTGGAGGTATGGCTACACGGTGTGGCCGGAGTTCATAGTCGGCGTCTCCCATTCTCGGGCGAGTTCAACTGTGCCTGGATTCTAGAGAGAGAGAGAGGGGGTTGGGAATAATTAATGGGGTTGGTTACACACTATAACTACACAAAAGATTATATTACTCTTGGTATAGGTGTCTGTTTTGTACAAGTGAGGTGTCGTTGGTTTTGCTTCCTAGTGAAGGAGATGCTTTGCGTGTGTGTGTGTGTGTGTGTGTGTGTGGCTTGAGAGAGAGAGAGAGACAGAGAGGGCTTGAATTTGTGAGACCTGTGAATTGAACTTGGGAAGGGCTACATGATACATATATAATGGAGGTGGGGGTGGGGGGTAGTGCGTTGCATTGTTGAAGTGCTTGGAAGGACCTACATTCCAAATAACACATCTAACATGGGCAGAGGCGGAGCCAGGAACTTGTTGTGGGGTCAAAAATTTTAGTAATAACAATATCATGTTTATTTAATTTAGAGATTTAATACATCATTATCATTGAATTAGCAAATGACGAGACCCATTGCTCGTGCAATAATAATAATAATATATTAGATCTTTAAATTAAATTTTCAAATTATATCCTAAAAGTATTTTTCTTTTAACACCAATAAAATTAAAAGATTGAATTAATAATAAATAAAAAGAAGTGACACATTGTGCGGGATCTTGATAATGCAACGCAATGAGAATGTCAGATGTATGTAACTTTACTCCACGCATGAGATAATATTTTTACAACTTGAATTTTAATGAAAAAATAATAATAGTGCATCTTACCTTAATAATTGTTACCGAAAAATTTTTATACTATAAAAATATTATATGATAATCTTACCATTTAATAGATTAACAATAATAACGGTGAGACAAATGGGGCAAGATATAGAGAGGGAGAACAAGAGTTTCAAGATAATTTCTTGAATACGGGTTAAGAGATCCAACTACTAAACATTATTTAAATTCACTTAAGTGATAGTTAATAAAATTAATTCAAATGTAAAAAATGATTAAACAAATTAAAATGTATGANTACTAAACATTATTTAAATTCACTTAAGTGATAGTTAATAAAATTAATTCAAATGTAAAAAATGATTAAACAAATTAAAATGTATGAGATTTTTTGTGGGGGCAAATTTAAAATATATTTAAACCTATACAAGAAAATTTTTGCAAACTTAGAGTGGGAGCAGCTGTCCCCATAAGACTCTACCTAGCTCCATCCCTTTTTTTGGGGAAGAAAAAAGGAGAGGAAGACTTGAACTGTTGATTTCAAAAAAATAAAATTTTCACAAGACAAGGAGTATCATTGAACAAAAGACTCATTGGTAGCTCCGCCCTTGAACATAGGTAGCTATTGCCTATTCTCCCTTGAAATTATGGTAGGAATCTTTGAGGGTGAATTTTGGTAGCAGAATGTTATTTGGGTTTAATTAAAAAATTAACTCATTAGTAGTGCTATATAGACTAGATGATGTGACATTACTACGGGACAAATTTAAATTTTAAATATATAAAAATAAAACCAACAATTCTATTATACTAATACCGCATTATTTGGTTCCTGTTTTTAGTCAATCTAACATTACTCNACCTTAATTAATCTCTAGTTTGTCTTCCTATTCTTTAATCTGTTTCATTAATAAATGCTTTAGTTTTGCATTTTCATTAAAGTAGGATTTGGATGCTCTCCCCCCACATAATTTTTTTCAATGATACATCACCAGTCAGGAATTCAAGTCATCTCCTCTAGCGTCTCCTACCAACACATGATGGGTGGTGAGTCCCCTCTACCACAATTTTCCTCATTTACAGATCACACTGTCGTAGTATTAATTTAAGTCGAATCCTCTACAGATATGTTGGTTGACGTGATAGGTAATTTCTCATTGCGAGAAATCAAAAGAAATTGTACCAAAAGGGATTTCATGCCTCAAGCAAACATGCTCATTATAAATTTTGCTTACTTTTTCATTTTCGTGTGTACATAGTTAATGGGTTTCAAGGCACTGACCTTAAGAAGCCTAAACCAGCTTGAAAAACTCCAGCAAAAAAGGTTGCAGTGAGAGCCAACTGAACATAAAGCTTAGGGTTCTCATTAGGATTGACCTCCTTCCCCAACATAGAAGCTATGAGAAGAGATGCAACAGCAACCGTTCCGACCGCCAAGTCTCTTGAGCTTCCCAACATGGCATATACCAATGGTGGCACAAAGCTTGAATCTGAACTTCCAAATGATCAATTAGCTTGCATTCTCTCTATAAAAATTCTTTTAACATCTGTAAAATTTATGGAAATATTTACTTTTTTCTAATGTTTTCAAATACAATTTGTGTTAAACTACTCTCCAAATGGCCATCAAATAGTATCTTAGGTACTAAGGGAGCAACTATGTTGCTAAAATCAATATCATATCAAAAGTTACAAAACGNCTCCAAATGGCCATCAAATAGTATCTTAGGTACTAAGGGAGCAACTATGTTGCTAAAATCAATATCATATCAAAAGTTACAAAACGAGAATGGTTAATTATAACTCAATTGAAGTTGTAACTCAAAAAGTTAATTACGACTTACCTTTCAAAACAATTAAAATCAATCTTAAAAGGTTACAATTAATCTTAAATAATCCTAAACTTGTAAAGAACTTTTTTCTTTTTGAAAAACCTTATTTTGTCATAACCTTGTCTAGTTGAGTTATAGTCTCACCTACATATGTTAATCCAGCTGAGTTTTGCAAACTTGAGTCCGAGCCTGTCGAGTTCGTTTTTTAAAATGAGTTTAAAAAATTGTTCAAACTCGACTTGTTTAAAACTCGAGTTGAGCCCGAACTCTAGTCGAGTCTTAGTAACTCAACTATTTTACATATAAACGAACTGAATTTTGGGAACTTGAGTCGAATCTTTAAGATCCGTATTTTTTAAACGAGTCTAAAAAAATTATTCAAATTCAACTTTGAACATGAATCAAGCTTGAGATAAATCTTATCCAAACTAAGCTCAAGTAGCTTGCGTCGATTAACACCTCTGATCTCACCCTATTTTGTCACAATCTCATTAATTTAGTTGAGTTATAGTCTCAGCCGGTTGAGTCGTAACTTTTAGTAAATTATCGAAAACTAACTCTTTAAATGTATCATATATACTATTCATCTACTATTAAATCATGATTATTTGATCACTCACAAAGGCCAAGAACTGGTGGCAAGTTGGCCAAACCGGCATAGCTGATTCCTTGAGGAACTGCAAGGCTAGCAATGGTGATTCCGGCAACCACATCAGCTTTAAAGAGATCGAAAGTGTATCGAGGAGCCCATTCAAGTACTGGCATGAAATACTGCAATCCTAAAACCACCTTCCGAGACATTGGTTGGTTTTTGAACTGCCGGAAAGGATCATCAGGAAAGAAAGTCTCTTTCAGAGACGATTCCAATGACTGGTAGAATGGTTTAGGTGGAGGTATGGCTACACGGTGTGGCCGGAGTTCATAGTCGGCGTCTCCCATTCTCGGGCGAGTTCAACTGTGCCTGGATTCTAGAGAGAGAGAGAGGGGGTTGGGAATAATTAATGGGGTTGGTTACACACTATAACTACACAAAAGATTATATTACTCTTGGTATAGGTGTCTGTTTTGTACAAGTGAGGTGTCGTTGGTTTTGCTTCCTAGTGAAGGAGATGCTTTGCGTGTGTGTGTGTGTGTGTGTGTGTGTG